AGGACACTCATTTGTGAATCTGAGTTTAAAGTTTGTACTTAAACTTAAACTTGTAACTAAGTTCAAATAAATCTTAAACTGAAACTTTGCTTGTTTGTAAAGTGATTTCAGAGCCACTCAGTTCTACCCTGATGGAAACTGTTTGCCTTCAGTGTTTTGTGCTTATGATAATTTTAATAGACATCAGCGTCACTAATTAATGACTCTATTAAAAGACTGGTTTACTAAGAGAGACACTGGAGTATTCTCACCTAAAATTAGTTAATGAAGCGAGTCTTGTTACAAAAATGATAATAGAACATTAGTCATAATTAATCTTTCAGTACTTTTACTTTCGATACTTAGGTACATTTGAAGGCAAATACTTTTGTACTTTTACTCAAGTGGAGGTCTAAAGGGAGGAACTTCTACTTTTACTGAAGTAATATTTTACCTTGGGTATCTTTACTTTAACTCAAGTACATGGTTTGTGTACTTCGTCCACCACTGGGTTTAACACACTCTTACAACTAAGACCCCCAAAGTAAACAATAAGGACATGGATCTTCATGTGTCTCAGAGGAAACTCATGCTTGTTTTTACTTTCCCAGCCTGCCGGCATCACCTGGCTCTGTTTCTTACTGTAAAACACCGAAGGAGAACAATCAAGTCATTGAGTCATTGAGTTTAATCGAGTAATCTTGGCAGATTATCATGATAATCTCCATCGAAGACTGATTAAACACTGGCAGAGACAAATTTAACCACCCGTCTCAGAAAAGTCAACTATGTATCTGAGCACTTTTCCTCAGAGGTGTGTCTGAGGAGCGGCCTAAACCCAGACTGCAGTAGCAGCGCTGCTACGTCAATGAAGCAGCAGTGAAAGTAGCCCAGCAAAAAGTGTTTAACACACTGTTACAACTAAAACCCCCTGAAGTAAACAATAAGGAACTCTGGAAAACTCCATTCAAAGCCGCAGATTCACACAGATTCATCAAAACATACTTTAATTTCATACAAATAAATGTCAAGCTTGAAACAACAGAAGAACACTTTTGGTGCTATAAAGAACCATCTACAGCACATTCTCCAACTGAAGAACACTTAGATGATGCAAAGAACTATTTAACCTTTTCCTTTACTAAAGAACCCTTGAAGAACCATCTTTTGTAAGTGTACACTGGTGGGAAAACGCTGAGTGGGCCGCCAGCTTTCCCATCAGTGGGCCAACAGCGACCCGCTCTCACTATCTGGGTTGATTTTCTGCTGATTTCTATGGACTGGTATGCTAGCGATACAATCTAGTACCAGTTGAGATGCTCTAATCTTCTCAGTTATCACATCAAACTCACTTTTTTACCTCCCAGACGACCGAAATCCAGGGACGAGGACGGGTGGTGACTCCAGGTAAGGGGTGGAATTGTGTACTGATCTGATTTTGAACTTTCTAAATTGAACTATCGCTTTAAAGTAAAGCAGAAAGTCAAACTTATCCTGAAATTTTCAAGATATAATCTGATCTAAGACCAACACCTCACTCAAAACAACAACACAGAGCAGGTTTACAGGCCCAACCTCAGCACACACGGTCAGATGGGCTATGAAGACAATGCTGAAAGGCTGGAAAGGCCAGAATGCTGTTGGAGTAGCTGCTGCAGATCACAGCCCTCAGGAGCCAGCAGGGCCAGAAAGGAGGCAGTGATTCACCTGCACAGGAATGAGGTTCTCAGACTGCCTCACCATTACAGTGATCACGGCCTCCAGCAGAGCAGGACACACACTGCAAAAACATGGTTCTCCAAGGGCTCTTTAGTAAAGGCATGTGTTCTGTCTATGTGTTGAATATGGTTCTTTAAAGAACCTTTCTGAAATTTGTTTTATGCAAATTTGTCATAGCACCAAAAAGGGTTCTGCTATTGTTAGCAGAACCCAGAACCATTTTCAAAAAAGTTCTACAGTTCTACTATTACAATGTCAAACTTGTAACAATAGAACAAATTTTGGTGCTACACTCTTAAAAAAGGCAATGGTTCTATCTAGTTCCATCAATAGTTCTATCTAGAATAATAAGTGCTACACTTATAAAAATGGTTCTTCAAGGGTTCTTTAGTAAAGGCATAAGTTCTATATATGTGTTGAATATGGTTCCTTAAAGAGCCTTTCTGAAATTTGTTTTACATAGAACCAAAAAAGGTTCTTCTATTGTTAGCAGAACCCAGAACCATTTTCAACAAAGTTCTACATTTCTACTATTACAATGTCAAGCTTGTAACAATAGAACAAATTTTGGTGCTACACTCTTAAAAAAGATGGTTCTTCAAGGGTACTTCAGGAAAGGTAATGATTCTATTTAGAACCATGAGTTCTATTTATGTGTAGTACATGGTTCTTTAAAGAACCTTTTTGAAAATGGTTCTGCATAGCACCAAAAAGGGTTCTTCTATTGTTACAAGCTTGGCATCATAACAACAGCAGAACCCAAAATCATTTTCAAAAAGACCTACATTTCTACAATTATGATGTCAAGCTTACAGTAAACAATAGAACACTTTTTGGTGCTACATAGAACCATTTTAAAAAGGACCATATACACCACATTCTCCATCAATCTGAAGAACCATTTCACCATGCACAGAACCATTTAAGTACAAAATTGTTCTACATAGAACTCATGGTTGTGTACAGAGCCATTCCTTTTACTAAAGAACACTTGAAGAACCATTTTGAAGAGTGTATAATTCATGGTTCTTAATAGAACCACTGCCTTTACTAAAGAACCATGCTTTTTAAGAGTGTAGACCAGTGCCTTTACTAAAGAACCCTTAAAGAACCCTGTTTTAGTAGTGTATAACTCATTGTTCTAGTTAGAACTACTGTTTTTACCAAAGAACCTTTGAAGATCCACCTTTTTTAAGAATGAAGAATTCATGGTTCTAAATAGAACCATTCCTTTTACTAAAGAACCATCTTTTTTAAGAGTGTTGAGCTCATGGTTTTAAATAGAACCATTGCCTTTTCTAAAAAAAAACTTGAAGAACCATCTTTGTTAGGAGTGTAGACCATTGCCTTCACTAAATAGCCCTTGAAGAACCACCTTTTTTAAGAATATACAACTCATGGTTCTAAACAGAATCACTTACTTTACTAAAGACCCCTAAAAGAATAATTTTTAAGAGTGTAGAATTCATTGTTCTAGACAGAACAACTGCCTTTTCTAAAGACACATTAAAGAACCCCTGAAGAACCATCTTTTTTAAGGGTAGACCTCATTGCTCTAAATAGAGCCATTGCCTTTACTAATGAACCCTTGAAGAACCATTTTTAAGAGTGTACAACTCATGGTTCTACAGAGAACCACTGCCTTTTACTAAAGAACCCTTGAAGAACCATGCTTTTTTAAGACTGTAGAACTCATAGCTCTAAATAGAACCATTCTTTTTACTAAAGAACCCTTAAAGAACCATTTTTAACAGTGTATAACTCATGGTTCTACAGAGAACCACTGCCTTTACTAAACAACCCTTGAAGAACCATCTTTTTTAAGAGTTTAGACCATTACCTTTTCTAAAGAACCCTTAAAGAATCATTTTAAGAGGGCAGACGAACGCCTTTACTACAGAACCCTTGAAGAACCATCTTTTTTAAGAGTGTAGAACTCATTGTTCTAGAAAGAACCATTTCCTTTTTTTTAGACTGTAGAATGCATGGCTGTAAATAGAACCATTCCTTTTACTAAAGAACCCTTGAAGAACCATTTTTAAGAGTGTATAACTCATGGTTCTAAATAAAACCATTGCCCTTTACTAATGAACCCTTGAGGAACCATTTTAAGAGTGTATAACTCATGGTTCTAAATAAAACCACTGCCCTTTACTAAAGAACCCTTGTAGAACCATCCTTTTTTAGACTGTAGAACTCATAGCTCTAAATAGAACCACTGCCCTTTACTAAAGAACCCTTGTAGAACCATCCTTTTTTTAGACTGTATAACTCATGGCTCTAAATAGAACCATTCCTTTTACTAAAGAACCCTTGAAGAACCATTTTAAGAGTGTATAACGCATGGTTCTAAATAAAACCACTGCCCTTTACTAAAGAACTCTTGAAGAACCATCTTTTTTAAGAGTGTAGACCATTGCCTTTACTAAAGAACGCTTGAAGAACCATTTATAAGAGTGTATAACTCATGGTTCTACAGAGAACCACTGCCTTTTACTAAAGAACCCTTGAAGATCCATCCTTTTTTAAGACTGTATAACTCATGGCTCTAAATAGAACCATTCCTTTTACTAAAGAACCCTTGAAGAACCATTTTTAAGAGTGTATAACTCATGGTTCTAAATAAAACCACTGCCCTTTACTAAAGAACCCTTGAAGAACCATTTTTAAGAGTGTATAACTCATGGTTCTAAATAAAACCACTGCCCTTTACTAAAGAACCTTTGAAGAACCATTTTTAAGAGTGTATAACTCATGGTTCTAAATAAAACCACTGCCCTTTACTAAAGAACCCTTGTAGAACCATTTTAAGATTGTATAACTCATGGTTCTAAATAAAACCACTGCCCTTTACTAAAGAACCCTTGAAGAACCATCCTTTTTTAAGACTGTATAACTCATGGTTCTAAATAAAACCACTGCCCTTTACTAAAGAACCCTTGAGGAACCATCCTTTTTTTAGACTGTAGAACTCATGGCTCTAAATAGAACCATTGCTTTTACTAAAGAACCCTTGAAGAACCATTTTTAAGAGTGTATAACTCATGGTTCTAAATAAAACCACTGCCCTTTACTAAAGAACCCTTGAAGAACCATTTTAAGAGTGTATAACTCATAGTTCTAAAGAAAACCACTGCCCTTTACTAAAGAACCCTTGCAGAACCGTCTTTCTGAGGCGGGTGTCTGTGAGGTCTCTGGAGTCCAGCGCGCTGCAGCGGCTGGACGGGAGAGCAGAAGCAGCTGGAGCTGAATCACTCGCTCTTTCTCCCTCTGCTCAATAGAAGCGCTCTCCCCAATAAAAGTGGCGTCACTTCCTTGCCCATCCCTGAGGGAGAAAACAGAAATATCCGAGAAGAGCGCCGCCAAGAAATTACGAGCGGAGGAATAAACAGCACGAACGAGGATTTACCGCGGATAAAAGCAGACTCCGGTCATAGGGGGGACACATTTGAGGACGAACGGGGCTAAAAAGTACACATTTATCGAAGTAAGTGCGTTTTTTCTGACCCCCTCTCTCCAATCCCTAAAGTCCACTCACTTTTCCAACTGCCCCCTCCCCTCTTTCCTCCTATTTCCATCGCTTTTCCAGACTGTGGGCTCTTAACAACTCGTTTTAACCCTTAAAACCTCGTTTTTGGTGGAGGTTAAGGTGGTAAGGAGGTCAAAACGTTGGCTTCTTTGAGAAACTTCACACGCGTAAACTTGCACGGAGCTTAAGTTGACTTCTTATTTGGAATTTTACCGTTCCACCTTAAATGCTGCCGCAGCCGCATTCTGGCGCCAGGCGCCAGAATGCGGCTGCGGCAGCATTTAAGGTGGAACGGCAGAATTCCAAATAAGAAGCCAACTTAAGCCTCGTTGAACTTAGACGTTATAAAATCCATGAATATGTTGTTTATGTAGGGTTATACCTTTGATCCAGCTGGGCTAAAGTTCATATACAGTCTTTTAAAAGTGATTTTGGGTGATTTTTCTTCCAGCTGTGCTGCTTCAGGTAACGAAAATGGCGATTTCACCCATGATCCTAACTATTCCCACCACGAATCCCCCCTCTGTATTTCACTAGGGTGGGCTGACTTTAAATGGGACTCAGTGTTGTATGGACAGAATGTTATAAGCTAATTATGGGACATTGTTTTATATGGTAATGTGGCTGTACATTATGGGACAGTGTTTATATAGATGTAGACATTGTCCCATATATATACTCATGGTTCTAAACAGAACCACTGCCTTTACTAAAGAACCCTTGAAGACCCATCTTTTTAAGAGTGTATAACTCATGGTTCTACAGAGAACCACTGCCTTTACTAAAGAACCCTTGAAGAACCATCTTTTTAAGTGTGTAGAACTCATGGTTCTAAACATTCTAGACATTGCTAAATGATGTCTGTCCTGATGGCTTTGATAGCTCAGTGTTAAGGATTGTAATGGTTTAACTGGTGTTCTGGGGCTCCTTTGATGGTTTCCTAATGGGATCTAAAGGAGTGCTACAGGAAACTAGTGGTCTAATGTTAACCATTAAGCCTGCTCTCATTAGAAAGCCAACCTTATGCTTCAAATGGTATTTTTTCAGTGGGGAAATATACATGAATACAGTAAATACAGTACATAACAGTTATTGTTTGATTTTTAATAAAGCTGAATTTAAATGTGTTGGATGGAGCTCCATCAGTCCAGAGATTGCAGGTCCACTTATATGACCGCTGGGGCTTAATGGTCATATAAGTCATCCTGATTCATAAAACCATTGTTTTATTCAATTTCCCACTAAAACACACTTCATACTGTAATGATCCCATTTACAGATTTAAAAATATATGTAAAAAATCACCTAAATCAAAGTAAATGTGGCATTCTAGCTCTGTTTACTGAGCTAAAGGAACACTGGACTTTTTCACTGGACCATACTTACCTGTGCTGTAGGGCTGGACGATTCAGGGAAAATTTCTAATTGCGATTTTTCTGGCAAATATTGTGACTGTGATTTAAATTGCGACTATTATCTACATATATTGAGGTCCAGGCCTGATTCTTTGGCCAAGAATATCAGTTTTTCTGGCTTGAGCTTTGAACGCTGAACATGGTGGGCCAGACTGCCAGTTAGTTGTGGTTGTGATGTCACAGAAACTGGGTGTTTGGTTGCTTCTGATTGGTCTAACTTGTCTACAGACAGTTCCAGGCTCTGTGTTATTGGGTGACACTTCCCCACTTAAAACTTAAGACCATGCTGTTGATAATAAAGGGTATGAATAAAAAAATTGCAGGTTTGAAAAGTGAAATTGTGATTCTCATTTAAAAACAATCTTTCAGCCTCACTGTGTTGAAAGCAGCTAAGCCACTAGTCGGGCTGCAGGTCTCAGGAATGGCTCTTTCCTTTCATTTGCATTCTGTTTTTCCTACCAATTGCCCAGTTTGAGTTGAGCTGCTTGTTGCTTTCTGGCCAATAGGCTGGCGTCAGTGTTGTATATTAGAAACGGCTACCCAAACAGAAATCTGATGGCCATAAATGCTGTGTGCATATATGTAAGTATAAAACATTGGACATGTATGCATAATATATGGATGGTATGTATTCATATATGTCTGTAACATGGTTGGATACATTGCAATCCAGTTATAATTGTTACTATGTCAGCTGTTTCCTTTTTAATGGGTTAAGGAACAATATTTTAATTTATTTAATGTTTTAATGGTTTTATCACATAGTGTGGATGTTTTTAGAGTTCAGTTATGTGGCTATTATATTAAATTTCACTTCATTTGGGGAGTAAGAAACAAAGCAGATGCATAAAAATCCTTAACATATAACATGGAGCTAGCATGTTGCTGTTGTTGAAAGAAAACCATCACCAAAATGGTAACTTTACAGGAGAAAGAAAAAACCTACTTTACTTTTAATGTAAGTCAATGGAACCAGACTTTTTTCCAAGTCATTTTGGGCCGTTTGTTTTAGTCCATTCATCATGAAATTTACACACAATGTAAAGGGCAAAAGACATTTTCAAATTGTGTCAAAAATTGAAAAACGACAGTTTTCTTCTGACAGCAGCCTTATATGAGTAATATATGCCTTCCATATATGAATGTTTTCCATCATATATTGTGTTACACATATATGTTGTATATGTTATGTGGCTGAAATATATGTCCCATATTTGGAAATAAGTTGGCATATACATCACACATATGTCCATATTTGACAGATGTAATTAGGATATAAGGGAAATATGCTAATGTATGTCATATATTTGACACCCATATATTGACATATATCAGATTTCCACATGGGTGGCTAAAGTCGCAGTGAATCAAGTGTTATATTTTGTGTGTGAAGTCAAAAATCATGAAACTTCACTGATATTTGTTCACTGGTTGCTGCTGAGCTTGGCTAGCTTGTCTAGTTCTGTCAGAAAAGCTTGCAGTCGATGAAAACAAACAGCCCCCAGCTAGCATTTAGCGACAGATTTCATGCTAATAGGTTGCTGTTAGCTCTTAGCCACATTAGCATTCCTGTAACTGCTTCCAGTGAAGAGTGTCTGACAGCCTAGTTAGTTTGTTTCTCAGAAGGACGTCCTCTCCGCTGGAAGGTTTCATAATGTCCATGTAAGACGTGTGTCTTGCTCAAGCCCTGAGGGAGGAATCTAAAAGTATGTGCTTGCGTTACGTGTCTCACCTACAAGTCTGAGCACGGCTCTGGCATCACATCTCAGTCAGCGTTTCTCACCCTCAGACTTCAGCTTTACTCCTCTACATCCTCCACGTTACCTCAGCCTAGCCGTGATATCTGACACTGGATATCAGGGGCATAAATCTGTGACCTCACATTGATTCAGCTTGATTACGATTCTGGAGGAACAAAACCTCGTATCTCCAAGACTTTGACTTTACAGGAGAAGGAAAAAACCTACTTTACTTTTAATGTAAGTCAATGGAACCAGACTTTTTTCCAAGTCATTTTGGGCCGTTTCTTTTTTGGTCCATTCATCATGAAATTTACACACAATGTAAAGGGCAAGAGGTACGTCCACACTGTGCCAAAACCTGGAAAACGACAAAAATGGAGTTTTCTTCCGACAGCAGCGAAATAATCTCACATTTCACCAAAGATTTTTTTTTATATATATGATTCAATGTTATTATTAAAAAATAAACTGAATACACAAACGTGACTGGAGGAGCTATTTAGGCAGCAGCGGAACATATTTTCAAGTCATAATTCCTTCTTCATTCTTACATGACCATTTCCCAACCTCTCTCTATCCCACAGGCTGTTTTTATTTCTGTCCCTTTAATACTGATATATGTAAATGAGCTCTATTCTGATTGGATGTGCCTCATTAAGAAAGCATTCCAGACTGAAACACTCCTTATAGCTTCAGTGTGAGTGGGCGGAGCTAAACTCATGTAGGCTGGATAGACAGACATTTCAAGAGTGCAATTTTCAAATGGCAAAAGGACGCATTTTTTTAAAAAATCATATCTTACATTATCAACAATGTTGTTTTAAGTTTAAGAGAGGAAATTAACGTAATAACACAGAGCTTGTGAACTGCGTATGGAGCAGTTAGACCAACCAGATCCAACCAAACCTCCATGTGTTGTGACATCACAACCACAACTTACTGGCACACTACGTTCAGGGGTCAAACCTCCAACCGGAAAAAGTGGATATTTTGGGCTTCTTGGACACAAAAAACAGGGCTCAATCTTCATTTAACTGCAATTTAAATCACAGTTGCAATATTAGTCAGAAAAATAAAAAAACAGCCCTGAATCACAATATGCCTTACAATGTATTACAAAATTGGCCAGCATTAGTTTTCTTTTGTTGCACCTTCATTCAGACCCAGTGAACATCTGTGATTGGTCAGCATACTTAGAGACCACATACAAATACATTGTCATTTTTTAGATGGATTGCGTACTGCAGTCTTTTATGTATCACAAAAGGTCAATGATATTGATCAGTAAATCATATAGTGCAGCCCTAGAAGTGTAGTATTTGCTGATAAAACTATAGTGATTAATCGCAACACAATAATGATTAAAATAATAATTATTATTATTATTATTATTAATATTTTTGGTACCGTTTTCACGGGTTGCAGTTCTCGAGCTAGAACCACAAACCTATGCATGACTGTAGAGCAACGGCCCAGGAACACCTTAGCAACCACCTGGGATACCACAGCAATAGCCTAGCAACACCTTAGCAACCTCTGTTGATACTATAGCAACTGCTTAGCAACCACCTGGGATATCAAAGCAATGGCCAAACAACATCTTAGCGTCCACCCGGGATACTACAGCAACGACCAAGCAACACCTTAGCTACCATGTGAGATACCATAGCAACCGTCTAGCAACACTTCAGCAACTGTCTGGGATACCGTAGCAATGGCTTAGCAACAGTGCATGTTGTTATATATGTATTAGTGGACAACAAAAGCTTTGTCAGAATGGATGTATTGATCACTTTCAATAATGCATATTGATATTTAATACTAGTTCAGTAACGTTCAGTAAGTACACATGAATGTGAACCTGTTGTTCATACAGCTGGGCTTCAGCCTGCACTACTGTGGATGGTCAAACTAGGAAACCAGCCCTATTAACTCGCTCTCTCTGATTTTTTCCCCCCTCAGTTCCAATGCCTCTCCACAAGTCGGGCCGGGCTCACCGCCTGGATCCCACCATGATCTCCGCCCCGCTGGGGGACTTCCGCCACACCATGCACATCGGCAGAGGCGGAGACGCCTTCGGAGACACATCCTTCCTGTCCAACTGCGGTCCCTCCAACCCAGAGTCTGTGAAGTCCACACCAGAGTCTTTAGACTCAGTCCCGTCGCCCACGGCAACCACCATCGACCCACCGGAGACAAGGCTGAGCCGTGATGGCGATGACATTGTGACTTCGGATGAGGCTCATCCGCAGCTCCGTCATTCCGAATCAGTCTCGTCCTTCGACCTGGACCTGGACTTGGGTCCGTCCATTTTGGGAGACGTTCTTGGAGTGATGGACGGACTCGGGCTGGGCAGCGACTGGACGACAGGCAAGCAAGGCGAGGAAGTTTTTGGCTCCACCGCAGACGGAGGAGTGTTGCCGATTGGCATGGCGGACGAGCTAAACGAAGTGAACGGGGTCAAGTCCAAAGGCCTGAGGCCCAAAGTGCGGTTCAGCGACAAAAAAGAGGAAATCATCGGCCGGCAGTTTGGAATTGGTGGCGGATCCGAGGTGGAAATTGAGAAGGAAAGAGAAACGAGCCCGGTTGGAGTTGCGGTTCAGATGAGGGTTGAAGAAACGATCAACAAAGAAATGGCTAACAAAGAAATGGCTAACAAAGCTGCGGCAGAATCGACCAATCACAGAGGAGATCACAGCCCAAGCCCCTCCTCCTCAATGAGCTCGGAATACGAAGGCGTCTCCCCGTTGGACAGAAGGAGGGAGGAGGAATCTGCTTCAGAGGAAGAGTGTGCGGCTGGGGAGCAGGGCTATACGTTCGAGGACGAGTCTGACGATGAGATCGGCCTTTAGGAGAAACGGATTGCAATTTGCGGGGACCAAGCACCGAAAAGTATGCGCGGAAGAATGCTTTTCTAATCAACATTCCATAAAAGGGAGAAATAACCAAAGCTAAAAACGTTCTGTCCAAGATGAAAAACTGGATTTTGATCATCAGTAGGTTATTAACGAGTTTACAAATATAAAGAGCCTCACAATTATGTTTCAATGCTGCAAGCTCCAATGGTAACCAGTGGTGTAGAAATGGTGTATGTAGGCTTGTGAACCAGTTTCTTACTAAGGTTAATGCTTCATCATATCATGGGGAAATGACACAGAATTTTATATTAGTACTTCTTTTAATCTTACTTTTAATATTTAATGTTGTAAAACAGCCTTGATAAGCAATTATTATACTTTTTTTCAGGTTCACATTTATCGTAAAAATATATATATATATATATATACATTGTTAAACTGGGAAACGTTGAACTCGTTATTTGGGAATTACTAAGGCTAAGTGGAAATGGAGCCATGGCTTACATTGTAGTCTTGTGAATAAATTCACTGTTCAATAAATCATCTCAGTACCAAAGTGGCTGGTTGAGACAAACAGTAGTGTGCCATAAATACAGTAAAAATGACTGGTAAAAATGTTTTAATGACCTTTTTTTAAAGAAATATTATGTTGATTTTTGCCTCTGAATAATATATAGTGTAGTGCTGAACAAAATTATGAACAGCTCATCGTTAACCCTTAGAAGTCACAGTTACCTTGTAAAAGCATCCTGTAATTTTAGATGAATTATTTCTCACTCGTAGCTTATTGCAAAAAGGTGAGAAATTTTTAGATTCTATACCAGGGGTCTCAAACTCAAATTACGTGGGGGGCACTAGGGAGTTGGTCTAGCCAACTTTCAGTTCTTTGTTATCTTCATCAATTATCATCATTATTATTATTATTATCATCATTATTATTATTATTATGCACTTTTTTGCAACCATTTTCACAGGTTGCAGTTTTCAAGCTAGAAACACAAACCTTTGCCTAGCAACACCTTAGCAGACACCTGGGATGCTACAGCAATAGCCTAGCAACACCTTAGCAACCTCTGTTCATGCCATAGCAACTGCTTAGCAACCACCTGAGATATCACAGCAATAGCCTATCAACACCTTAGCAACCTCTGTTCATGCCATAGCAACTGCTTAGCAATCACCTGGAATATCATAGCAATGGCCGAACAACACCCTAACGTCCACCTGGGTTGCTACAGCAATGGCCTAGCAACACCTTAGCTACCATGTGGGATACCATAACAACCATCTAGCAATATCTTGGTGACTGTCTGGGCAATGGCTTAGCAACACCTTAGCAACGACCTGGGATATTATAGAATCAGCCTAACAACACTTTAGTAACAACTTGGGATACGTAGCAACAGCTTTATCAAGCCAACGTAAAATTCATTCATGAACTTTTCCCTTCTAGTTAGTATTGTAGTAGTAAAAGGAGTAAAAATACAGAAAGTGTTCAATAAATATTTTCATTTTCAATTAAATCAAGTAAACTTACATTTAACAACAAAACTATATGGGGCTCTTATTGTGACAGCATTTCCAGCTGAACGCAAGTGAAGAGTTGGGAAAGTAGTTAAATCTGCATCCTCAGTGGATTCTTTGGAAAATTCCATTGATTACTTAATTCTGAATCTACTGCTGAGGCATGAATGAATCTACGAGGGCAGAATTAACTATCAATCTAAATTAGAATAACGTTAGAATAGCATCCTTTAGTTTCAGCTAAATTACAGTGTGCAGCATTTATGCTACATCAGGTTTTGTTTGAATGGTTCCTGTTGGATGCAGCACTTTATTTTGCCTGTAACATTGAAGCAAATAAACCCATCAGATATAAATATTTTGCTGCAGAAAAATACAAAAATAAGGATAAATTGCAAATACATGCCGTCGTTTGAGACCCCTGTTCTAAACCGTACTACCGGAAGAGTATTTTTAATATTATTTTTTTTTTTTATCTGATTTAAAGCGACTGTTTTGTTTGGCAGAAGGAAACATCATCCCTCACATTACTGCCATGATTTTTATCATTTTTCTTCTAAATCTACACAAAATTGTCTATTAAGTATGAATGTAACTCGTTATTTTACACTATAAATAATAGATAATTAACTGTGTAATTGCGTCATTTCAAAAGCAGAGCAAAGTGAAAGTAATAACTCTGGACCTCTAAGGGTTGGCGTCCCAGTTTCTGGCTCAGTTACAGCCACGTGCAAAAGTTTGCGCGCCCCTGGTCAAATTCCATTTTCTAAGTGAAAGTAAGTTGAAAGTCTTCATTTACAGAGAGAAAATACTTCTTTAACACACATTCAAAGCACCATTGCTGTTTATTTGCCTAATTTAACAACATAAAATGTGGCCTGTGCAAAAGTTATGGCACATTTTATATTCTGTTTTTTTCCAACGTGTTTCCAAATGAACAGAAACTGTGCACTAAAATAAGCAGAGGAATGTCGTATACATCCCTGTAGAACATGTTTTAACTAATTTTCACTCAGAAAATCAACAGACTTTTGCATATGACTGTATAGAGACTGTATATATGTGTATATCTGTCTCAGTGGTTTCAATTTAGATTGGCCGACGTTGAAGATAACAGTATTAGCGAGTATATTATGTCGTAATTTAAAAACATAGATTTGCAAGTGTTGTATAAAAAAGTCACAGGAGCCGATTGGCTGAGCTGGTGCTGGTGTTGACCGGGGCAGTGAGTCCTGTGGAATTTGGGCGTTCCTGTGTTAGTGACGAAAACAATGGGTGGAAAAAACAGCGGGTGGATGCCATGCGTATAGATGCTTATTTTTTTTGTTGTTGTTTTTTTCTTTTCCTCTTTCGAGCTCTGACTGACGGAGCTTTGTAGATAGAGCTCAGAGCATTTTACTGCTAGCGAAAGTATTTGTAATCTGATCTGCTGTTATTGGAGTTCAAGGTACACTGAGTGCAGATATGAGCTGTTAAATGCTTTTACATTGGCCTGTGTTGGTCCCCCCCCAGAAGTCTGAGGCCTCCGTTAATCAGGCGGCTGTAGTGGGTGATAAGATAAACATATTACGTCACTTGATATTTTCATAATACATGATATGCATCTTGATGTATGGTTTTTCTGAGGGATGTGAGCACATTGGAATGGACAGAATGTGACAGCACAACGTCCAAAAAGGGCTAAATAACTATCAGTAAAGCTATTATTACATATTCAATATTTGCAAATAAACTAGAGAAAAAGCAAACAACTGGTAAAAGTACTTGGCTAAAATATGATGATGTCATAATGGGCTGCCATCCAATCAGCTTCTTGTTGCTATGCAGTTTATACAGTTACTTTACACTGGTTGTTGTTTTCAGGCTCTAAAATTGGTCTAAATCTGTCTTTTTATGACCCTCGCAGTTGGTCAGTGTACTAGGAGTGCTGAACATACCCAATGAAGAGTTTTGTGACAGAACGTATCATGATAATTTATCCGGATTGTTGTATTTTCCACCCCTACTGGGCAAAACGTCAGAGGCCCTTTATTTATTTAATTTCCAGTGATTTAATTTCAGCGCAAACATTTTTTTTAAACAGAAAATTACACATTTATTGTGTCCACTCTTCACCTTTATTCCAGCTTCCCTTCTATTCAGGAGACTCACTTTCAGCTCCTCAAAGAATCTGCAGACACACCTCCAAAGTTCAGTCTTAGAAGCTGGTTGATCATTTTCTGAAGTAATCAAACACATTCAGTGGTGTTGAGGTCTGGACTCTGGGGTGGTCAGTCCATTGTTCAGCTTCTTTGTTTGGTGTGTCCGTCTCCTTTTCTCAGTGAGGTTCTTCTTGATCAGCTACACATCCTTTCAGACCCACAGCGCTGAGTCGTCTTCTCACAGTGGAAGGATGGACAGAAACACCTGTGGATGTTTTCAGATCTGAAGCAGCTTGATTTTCTCCTCTCTCTCAAAGATGAGAGCTTTAAGTGCTGTTTATCTGATGGGGGCAGTTTTGGGGTCGACCAGCTCTTCCAGGTGGTTGTTAGGAGCCCCATTTTCTCTGTAGCTTTTCAGTTTTTGCGAACAGTTTTGGATCATCTCACATCTCCTTAAGAACATCTCCTGAAAAATGATTAACCTGTACATAATGGCTGTTTTGACTGGAAATGAAATTAGCTTATAGATATGCTGAAAACACTCACCAGCTAAAAGGATCTTAAGTGTGATATATTTCTCATTCTGACATTGTTACAAAAATATTATAAAATAATCAACACAGTTATAGACGTTTTCACTGGATTTTAAAAAATGATCCATATTGGAAATAATGTAAGAAATTATGTTCAAAGGAAGTAAAATAGCCAATGCAGTGACATCATTTCATGCAATAAGCTAATTTTGTATATGTTAAAATGTCTAGAAATAGGTTGAAAAGTCTTATTCCTTATAATGAGAAATATTAGATATGCCTCATATTTATAGATGCCAGTACTTTTAAAATCTGAGTCATTTTAAAGGAAACAATTAATAGGATTTTAATTTTAATTGATGGCCAACAGATAATTGAAGCTTTACGGCCACAATCATACTTTAGTCGAGTAACATTACGGCTTGTTTTGACGCCAAGCACCAAAAGCTACTAGAGTGCTAATGGCACCCCCTTGTGGAGACCCTTCAGTGAATGAGTGAGTACAATCCAGGTCCACGAGGTGCTTCACGCCTAAAAAAGCTCAACTGTTGAAACATTCCAGCCACAGAACAAAGCTGAGAAATGTCGTTAAACTAGTAACTCGGTTATTTAGCTGCTGTTATCGTTCCAGTCTGTGGGCTAAATGTGACACAGGCCTGTAGGTTTGGGTCAAAACGTTAGATATGATTCTTCGCTGTGAATGAGTTTGGAGGAATTTACCCACAATTCCCCAGGCACTCTAAGCCTGGAGATGTCAGGCTACATAATCAAGCTTTAATTAATGTGATTTGGTCAAATCGGATAAAAGAAACAAAATTCACCATGAACGGTTGGAGAAGACGAGTGGAGTCAAAGCTTTTTTTTTCTTTTTTTTTGTATTTTTACACTTTATTTTCTATTATTTTTTCTTTTATTTAGTAAAATCTTTTAATCTGTGAGTCATAATGTTGATGAAACACCTTCCAGATACTCAATGGCTATTTTCATTTGTATTCATTTTATACGGATGACAACAGGTTATGAATAATAAACTGTTGAATGGCCAAATAAAAGTGGATTTTTATGGAAATAAGAAAGTGAAAACTTCATAACCACTGATAATCAGGGCTGGATTACCCAGAAATACATCAGAACAAATATGATTCTTAAAGGGGGAACTCCACCAGCTTTTTAAGCTGTAAAAAATGTCTTTCAGAGTGATTCAGAATTGTTCATAGTGGAGGTGATAGGAACCAGACGTCCACCTCTAAAGCTCCCTCACAGAAAGTTAGTACATGACATTGTTTTAGGATTTTTGGCCTAAAAAAGATTTTTTATTACATGGTTGAGGGGGGCGTTGTGAGGCAAAATAGTCCCCAAAGAACCTTTTTTTTATTATTTTAATTTATACACTATATTTCCGACGCCTGGTTCCTATCACCGCCACTGTAAATAAATCAAAGTCGGTAAGTTTTTCCACAATCAACCATTTCACACCAAACCACTCTGAATGACTGTTTACATCTCAACCACTGAATTATGCGGAAATTTTGAAAAGCTGGTGAAATTCCCCTTTAAATGGTAGAGCGAGCATCACACTGAACACTTTCTCTACCAGGTAAGATGATCTCAACACTATCATGATTAGGCCCAGTTTTTGAATGAAGTCAGAGTTGGAATATAAAAGTGAAATAAGGTGAACTTGGTGGAACCGGTTCTAGCTGTAATATCATGACTCATAACTGCATGGAGGAGTGCAGAAAAGTGCTCTTCATAACTGTAATGCCATTGTTGTTGTTGACGTTATCTTCCTGATCTCGATATCTGCAAGATAATAAAGGTATTTCTGTACTTTCTACTACTGAGGTACCTTTATTTTGATATTGTATTCATTTCATGCAGTTTTATCCGTTTGATTCACCCATTTTAGTCAGAGGTTCAAAATAAAAAACAAAAAAGGAGTGAAAATGAAGGAGGAAATGATATCAGTGCACTTTGCATCTGTAAAACTATACTAAAGGAAAGCAGCTGTGGACAAAGTACACAAAAGGTGCACTGATATCATTTCCTCCTGTTTATATATTTACTCCAGTTACACTACACTTGCTTGTAAATGTACATAAATGGCAAAAATCCATTGATTTTTTAAAACGTCTGCATAATTCACTCTTTAATTTCCTCTAGAATGGAACACTTCACATCAAACCACTCGGAATTACTTTGTTTACTCTTCATGCATTTAATTATGCAGAAATTTCGCTACACATACTTGTGTCATCAGCATAACTTTGGAAACTGACTCCATGTTCAGGGTTGTGCACCATTATATCCCATATATTCATATGGCCATATTAACAAATACTGTATATGCCAATTTGAATGGCTCAGAATGGGGCTAAACCTTAGGCTGAATGGGTGGGGCTAAACTGCTGTAGGCTGAATGGGTGGGGCTAAACTGCTGTAGGCTGAATGGGTGGGGCTAAACTGCTGTAGGCTAAATGGGCGGGACTAAACGGCTGTAGGCTGAATGGGCGGGGCTAAACGGCTGTAGCTGAATGGGTAAGACTAAACTGCTGTATCTGAATGGGTGGGACTAAACTGCTGTAGCTGAATGGGCGGGGCTAAACGGCTGTAGGCTGAATGGGCGGGGCTAAACGGCTGTAGCTGAATGGGTAAGACTAAACTGCTGTAGGCTGAATGGGTGGGGCTACACTGCTGTAGGCTGAATGTGCGGGGCTAAACTGCTGTAGGCTGAATGGGTGGGGCTAAACTGCTGTAGGCTGAATGGTGGGGCTGAACTTCTGCAGGCTGAATGGGCGGGGCTAAACTGCTGTAGGCTGAATGGGAGGGGCTTAACTGCTGTAGGCTGAATGGGTGGAGCCAAACTGCTGTAGGCTGAATGGGCGGGGCTAAACTTCTGTAGGCTGAATGGGTGTTTATATGTAAATATGTTCAGGGTTGTGACATCACAGTCATGTTTAATTCAGAACAGACTCTTTTTATGGCTTATTTTTCATGTACGGACTGTGGAGTGAAGGGTATATCCAGTGTTTATGCACTACATCAAACTCCTGCTTTAAAAAAGGGCCCCTTCACTTTTTATGAGACCACGAATAACAGAACGGCGCTCGACAGAAGGGAGGTGTTAAACCGGTTCCAAGAGTTTTCAAATGCAGTCAAACGCAGCAGAACAAAATCTATAATTTGATGACCCAGAATCAAAATCATATGTAATTATGTGACTTGACTGAGATTGTGGGAGTAAGTCAGTTCAGGGCCAGGAAACATAACAGCCACAGCTCCATAGTTTCCCTTTCCGCAAACTCTAAACATTCACTAGAGCAGATAAACTGCCCTGAATCCAGTAGAGAGAATATAGAGATTCTACTGTTAGACTGGAATTATGACACGCCTTTCAATCTATTAAAATCACTCTGACGAACATTCCAGGAAATACAACTACATATCTGACTGAATGATTCAGAAATAATTCCCTATTTTTGGATTACATGAACATCTTGATTCTTCAGAACCCATAGAAGCTCATCTGGAGCTGTGATTGGTCAGGATTGATTGGAGGCTCATTTGCATTTTGCTACACCAGTATTGCACAAACAATGCGCAGAAGAAATGAAAAATACATAAATTGGACTGTGAGTGGAAAATGAGTGATGATATGTGGAATTTTGTCTATTACTCTGTGTAACCACTGGTGGGCCGCCCAGAAAACACTGAGCAAAACACCAGTGTACCGCCAGCTTTGCCATCAGTGGGCCGACAGTGATCCACTATCCTCCTGCTATCAGGGCATTTCCTTTATTTTGGCAGTAACTGGTGTGGAAATGGTGGTTAAATTGCTCTAAACTATCACGGCTCAGTTAGCGATCACATATTAAACTATGGTGTTGGTATGAGCTGCTCTTTTATTTGCAACCTTTGACAAATTATGAAATGTTAGCATAGCATTAAGCAGATACGTAGAGGTATGTAGCACCGCTTTACCTACTGCACAGTAAGCAATGTGGGAAATTATGCTAGTTAGTGTCCACATTCATTTCACTTCAGTTTTCGTTTTTCTCCCCAATTTGATTGAGGCTAATCCCCCCCGCTAGCTAGGCCTCCCTCTTTTACACAATGCTAGCACCACATAACGCAACATCAGCGTGTTGGAGCAGAATATGCTTGAAGGAAAATGCTAACTGCTAATTCTGTTACGTCAGCTAACAGACTTTGAGATAAGCTCCACCACACCTTTTCAAACTGATACTAACGCAACATCAACATGTTGGAGCTCAACATGCTTGA